AAGGTTATTCAGAAAAGGATATTGGTAGACACTAGGAATAGTGTTTTATGACCATCATCTGTTCAATAATATCTTGCATGTAAAGATGGATCCAGAGTGTTTAGTAGTTTTATTAGGAGAGTGCTTAATACAAGGGATATACATACTGTCTACTTAGTCAAGTTCTTTTATGGTGACTTGGTTTTAAAAATAATCACTGAATTATTAATGTTTCTCTTATATCAGAATACAAGATAACGATAACTGTTTCATTATCTGGCCAAGCTTCTTTGATTCCACTTTGGTTCAAAGGTGGACAGAAGTGATTATGATATGTGTAAGGCCTGGTAAGGCCTAATAAGTTGACTTTATCCTTTTCTTAAATTAATTGAAGCTCCTGAATATTAGACAATCACTTGTTTAATGTCCTAGAATAACCAATAATTTGTTTTCTTTCTAGAAGAGGATACAATTTTTTAAAGGTATTAAAAAACTTCATATATGGCTTATGGACACTCCAAAACGTGCTAATATGTATAGGTATGTTGAGTCACTGATAAATTTGTTCTTTTTTAAAATTAGATTAAAAATGTAACTTTGTACTGAACAGATTCATTCTATAGGCTTCTGTATTGCTCTGAAAAGAATTCATGAGCAAAAGATCTTAGAACTTGAGGAGATTACTTGCTAATATTGATTTATCAGGATAATTTCTTTTGAGAGATTAGAGCTGGGAAGTTCATTCTGTCGATAAGTCGATCTGGAAGTGTGCCTCTTTGAACTGAAGAGGAATGCTTGGCAGTGTGGTAACTCAGACCTGAATTTCAGAATTAACAATTATTTAATATTTAGCATGTTTTTCAATTCTATCGATCAATTTTCTCATTTCCTACTTTGAGAATCAGTTCTTGAAATAATACATTTCATGGTCTCTTTATCCAAAACAAAAACCTATCCAATAAAGAAAAACATTACTTTTATTAGTGGTACGTAAGGTTAAGACTAATGTAGATAATTTTGTTGTTTTATATACTTTTTTTAGTTAATTTCAGTTTATTTTGAATCTGGGGAGCAGGTTGTTATTTCCTAAGGACAGGCCCTACAACTGAAACTTATGGAGTTACGTTCTACATTATGCAGTGACTGGATGGACAGAGGAAAGTTCAGTGTTTACAGTTTCCATAAGCTTTTGAAAACTGCTCCCAGTTACTGTTTGTGCACACAAGAGGAGGTCCCGAACTTCAGCGACTGACCTTGCTTCCCGAGTCCTTGGGTCCACATTCACCTTTATCGTACCACCATTTGTTTTTCAGCTTGTCTAAGACGCCTGCCTCACTGAGTTTCAAAACGGCAAGGTTTACAGGAGTTCTTCACGTGGAAAATAACATAAATAACATTATATATGTTATTTTATGTTATTCAAGTAAAACTACATTAGAATCGCATGGCAAAGTGACAGAGCAGAGGCCACAGTAGGCGCTATGTCTTGAACTGTAGGCCCAGGTTGAGAATCAGACATAGCACTGGGGTCCGCTCCATCGCTTTGGGTAACAGGCACATACTGCTAGGGAGGATTTTTAAATAAAATTGTATGCAATTACTGTGAATCCAAAACTATTGGCCTGGGGTGGGTTTCATGAACCAGTTTTCTCCACATGTGGCAATCATCCAAAATCCAGAAATTTCTTCCTCTTCTCTTTCAAAATTAACAGAGGTGACTTCAAGTTGACAGGTTTAAAGTAGAAATTAGATAAGTCTGATTTTGCTTCTTGCACTATAATTTAGCTAGTGAGATTTGTACTTAATGTCATAAGATATATAGAAAGTATTCATCAATAAATTGACTCCATGATCGGTTTCATCTGAGGAGAGTGTCTTAGCAGTATACATCAAGGGCCAAATAACGCAAGAGGAGGTCTGTATAAGACAAATATGAAAACTGCTATGTTAAAGGGTAAGCCCATGCTGGTATTTTCCTTCTGAATTTCAGCATTGAACAAAAATATCACCATGAACAATTTTCGTCTGCTGTATGTGAGTATACCACATAAATAAAGCCAAAACACATGGTTAAGTGACTAAAATGCAATTGGTAAAATTTATTTACCAATAAATAAATGGCATGTTAGTGATAACCAAGATTTCTCTGCCATCTTAAATGTTAAATATCATTGATTCTTCCCTTACTGAACAGTATTTAGAATGTTTCAGCGAGGATGACATCAGCCCCCAGTCAGCACCAGCCATTGGAATGATCTAAGAATTCTCTCAGCTTTCCTTCCTATGTATTAATATGAAATCTAGACATGTAGCTGGACATCAGTAACTCCTGGGATCTTGTATTGATATGCCATGGTAACTAGTTGGAGTTTTTGTTGCTTTTTGCTGGAGATGTTTTTCTTCTCTGGACATTTTTTAAGCTGCCACTGTGCTTTTGCCTGACTGTGTTACAATACACTGCCTTACTTCCAGGAAATGTTGACTACATTTGATGAAACACAGCATGCCTTTATTTGGTTACCAGGATGCATGGCATGCATTTATTTGGTTTATTCCATAAACACAGCTCTCCAGTTGGGCAATGCACTGATGATGGTTATAATGGTAGCTAACATTTACTGAGCGCTTACTGTGAATCAGACACTGTTCAGCTTTATTTTTGTCACTGACATTTCCTAAATGAAGATACCCAGACGGAGAAGCTTAGCTCACCTAGTTAACAGCACTAGGTGTTAGCTCAACCAGGATTTATGACAGTCTGGCTTCATACCTTATGCAATTATAAGTACAGCAGAAGACAGAAAATGGGTTTCTGGTAATTAAGTCTTCTGTTAAAAGTTAAACTAAAACCCATTTCCCCCTAATGTTAGCTTTGGAAAATATCTCTAAAATATAAGTTTTAAGTTTGTTCATATGGAATCTGAATGCAAGGTAAGTTTTTGTATCAAGCTCCTATGCTCTCATTACAGCTTAAGTTTACTATTCCATTTAAGAAATAATTTGTTTGCCATAACTTGAAGTATTAACTATTTGGGGGGGGGTCAATCTGGCATAATTTAACCCTCTCTTAAAAGATAAATTTAGGAATATACTTATTGGCGTGCTGAAATGAACTCGGTAGGTCTAGGCTCAGTGTTTCAATGACTCCTCTTCTATCGCACTTGAGCTCCCAGCATCACAACCCACCCCCGTAGCTTAACTGGTGAGATGTGAGCTGTGAACTCCTTGACAGCAACACCTACAACTCATTCATCTTCCTAAAACAGTACTTACCAGAATAATATCTGACCCAGTAAGTGACCTAGGAAGCTGTCACATTTAAATTATTTAGAATCAAGAACAAGCTCTCCTCTCAGAGTTGATACTGTATGGGATTTGTCTGTCTTGAGATCTGTGTTGTTTTAATGTCTGGATTTAGGCAATCCTCCCGCCCCAGCCTCACCATAACTGGGATTATAAAACATTTTAGGCCTCCATGTTAGCTTGCCTGAGTCTTTAGGAAAACAAACCCTTGCTAGGCAGATAATAGTAGACTGCACTGCATTTCTTGAATGGGTGGGCTGAGGAGAGCAGGAGTTGAGGGAGAAGAGGAGGGAAATGAAAGCAGTCTCCTTCAGGTTTCTTCTAGAAAAGAGTTAATGGCAAAACTAAGGATTAGATCAAGGCTGCCTTTCATTGACCCCTCCCTTCTTCTTCTTCTTCTTCTTCTTCTTCTTCTTCTTCTTCTTCTTCTTTTTTTTGGTCTTTTAGAGACAGGGTTTCCCTGTAGCCCCAGCTGACCTTGAACTCACAGAGATCCACCTGCCTCTGCCTCCGGAGTACTGGGATTAAAGGCTGCACACCACCAGGCCTGGCCTCTCTCTCCCTTCTTGAAGTATTGTTTCCTCCCCTTCCTTCCTCTTTCCATGGCTTCCTGTCCCTTCTGCTAATTACCCCAGTAACTTGGTTTTAGATGGTAAGATTAGATTGGCATTTCAGACATAAGATTTTTTTTATTAACCATACTTAATATTCAACCAGTGGAATGAAGTATGATAAACAAGAAATTCAGTACTGGGAGAGTCTTTTCAAGAGATGGTTGTCTAGTTTAAAATTTTTTTTCTATCACATTTTTCTTCTAATAAATACATATTTTTCCTGTTCCAGTCTCTTAGTCTTGCATTCATATTTATGATTATGATAGCAGGGAGTAAGTGGTTTATAAGTAAAAATTTATTAAAGTCAAGAATGAATTGCATTCTTCCAAATGCCAAATCAAAAACTAGGAACTGTGTGCTGGAATATAATTCCTGGAGAACAAATGATTTAGGAATTACATGTACAAAGTGATATTTATGAGCATCCACATTCACGGGTGAGCATCTATTTACAATCATAGTTAAGACAGTAAAGGATGAAATAAAGAACAAAGTTGTCAATTGTGTGGCTATTATTAGTGCTATGGTGACTGGTGGTTGCTAAGATCCAAAAATTCAAACAGATATTGGCATAAAATTTTGTGTATGGCTTGTGCTTAGCCTAAGCCATGTCAGAGCAATCAAAGGGGAACCTGTTTTATACTTTGTAGTCAGTATTTTGTAACTGGCTCCTTGTTAATGAATACATGTCTCTTATTTTACTCACAGAATGATTAATGATTTTTTTAATGATGATTAAGGAAAGACTGAATGACAATGACACTATCAAAGGAGTTTGCTTTCCCTCACTCGTGCTTTGTCACCTCTTATTTTTCCTGGAAGACGTAAAATCCTTTCTCTCATAACCTTTGTTAAATTGTTGTGGCCAAAGGTTTCTAGGATCAGAACTTCACAGTGCTGGAAAGAGCTGTCAGGGGAGTGAAGATGCTAATTACTGCTTAGCCATGGCCTGTGACAGTGATGCTCCCACAGGGGCTCAGAATAGTTGTGTTATTGACTGTATTAAATTGTAAGTTCCTGGAGGGAAAAGACAGTGGGTAATTTTCTTTCTCTCTGTAGATGCTGGCACACTGACCAGTTAAAGCGAAAGTGTGATAATTTCCTGTTGCCTAGAAGCTAGGGATGTGAATTATCCCCTCTGCCTTATCTCACTACAGTCCTGCCAATGACAGGTGGATCCATTGTTTTCTCTCAGGAACTTTTTCAGGCATGGTGCAATTTTAATTATTTTCTCCTCTTTACTGGATGGCACACTGTTAGTGACTACCAAGATTCTGTGTATCAAGATTAAATAAACCCAATTTTGGAAGGCTTGTGTGGAGATCTCCATAGATTTGTATTTTCTGCCTGGAGTTCACATTCTTAATAAAAGGCTGTGGAGCCTGCTACCTTTCTTAGTTCGGTAGTGGAGAGAGACAAAGACAAAGTGTAGGGGAAAGGTAAGTTTAAAAAGAACATTAACTATCTGAAGAAGTTACAAAATGAAATGGAAAAGGCAACAGCTATTTCCTGGTGATTGACTCTGACCTGTTAGGTCAGGTCATTTAAGCATTGACTTTACCACAAATTCAAAGTTGAGAATTATTAACATTTAGATTGCAACAACCTTATTCTCGATGATAAACCTTGCATCACTTAAAATGAATCTATAGTATTCTCTATTTTATTTCAGGAATTTTGTTTCCATA